TATTTGATAATAAGGACAGCTTATTCTCAGAATTATAAAATATATATAAAACCACATAAAATGACAGATTTAAGGAGATTTCATTTCAGAAGGAAAAAACCAGAACTTCAAAAAATTGGGAATTTTATAGAAGAAAAAAGAAAAGGTATTATCATCCTTTACATTTAGCGATCATAATGTCATATCAGATAAAGCTAACTGCCCCTCAAACTTGCCCTCTCCTGTGTGTTTCCAGGGCCCCTACCGTGTCTCACTTGACTACCAATGACCCCAACCTAAGGTCCCTCCACTTCTCTCCCTGCCTGTCACCTTCCACACCTTGGTGCCACTGCAGTAAACTGCACACGTGGTCACAACACTATGAGTTTTAAGCTCCTCTAATGAAGTTGAGTTGACTCCTATTTAATAAGCACAAATCCCTCAACACTGCATTTCAAATCCATCACTTTCAGCCTCCATCTGTCCCTCCATACCCACCCCCAAGCCCTCCTCTCCTTGCTCTCTTCTCTCGCCCTAGACGACAGCCCTTTCTTCTTCACCTTGTAAGGTCCTTTTATTCCTTCTGCTAGCGCATCCTCCTCATCCTTCAATCTCAAATATCACAGTCTGACCTCGTCCACTGAACAAATGATCTGTGCCTCCATTAACATTCTCCTGTACACATATATCTTGAATAGCCCCCTCACTGTCTCATAACTGACAACGGACGTGCCCAGGCACTGCTAAGCCCCCGTAGTGCTACACTCATGCGTCTCTTTTCATTTTTCAAGCTGTAGCAGCAGCACAGTGGTCAGAACATCAGAGGCACTTTGATAAATACGTGTTGCCAGAATACAGAAGTAGGTGTTTTAAATGAGCTTTGGAGGACACGTAAGGTAACAACAAATGTAAGGAGGAGGTAAAGGGGGAGGAGGAGCCACTGAGGTTAGTGAGTAACACCCCAGAGTTACACTGGAGAAAAATCAACCTAACCACAGAGTAAAAGAAGGACTGAAATAAAGCCAGAAACGAGGTACGAAAGTTAGCTACCATTTACAGTTCAGGCAAGGAAAAGTATGGCTTGAACTTGAACTTGGGTCATAACAACAAAAACTGAAATGAAATATCAGAAGTGAACAGTCACCCTAGAGATAAAAAGCTCTGTATTTTACTGTAGCTATTTCTTATATTGAATACTCTTGTGGACTTCTGTTATGATCTAATCTCAGTGGCTCTTTTACATCATCGTTCAGCTTCTACTGTAGGCTCAGCAGAGGGTTTTGCATTTGGTTGTCAGACTAGTCCTTTTAGATTTGATTAGAAAGTTGCTATTTCATGTCAAGTTCAAAATCCATTCAATCTGCTATCTCTTTGCATAACCGATTTCATCACTTACCTGGCACTATAAAATGTAACAGGGCTCGCAGTGCCTCCAGCTGCACTGACAATGACATTTCATGACTTTTCATAACTGTTATTATGTTGGGGACCAATGTTGCCATTGTATCCAGGGAAGTATTGCTGGAGAGAGAAAATCTGCATGTTTATTAAAGATACAATTGGATTCAACCATTCAAATGCCAGATTAAAACAAATGCAAGAAAACAGGACCAACATATTCCACCAGGAAAGTGTGTTTGAATTCAGTCATTTGACCATATGAAAGTTTAGTTGTTTAGTTAAATTTTGACCTGAAGAAGGAAAATTCATAGTAACCTGAGAATTCTTTTACTTAGATTTCATAAAAACAGCAAGTTTCTTCTTATCTACATATAGGTCATTGGCAGCACCCAAAAGACAGATATTATTATCCCTGTTTTCCACAGAGGTGGTCAAAGGATAAAAAACAAAGTCCTTTAACTAGAAGATGCCAGAGTCATGGCCAGTACCCCAACCTGTCTGACCCCAGACAAAATTCCTTTATCTCACACCCCAGACTAACATCTCTGGACTTTTTGTGTGACATTCTTAATTCATTTTAGCTTGCATTAAGATGAGAAAATCTCACTTGTCAAGATTTTAATAGCTACTATTAAGTTATCAAAAACAGTCGTTGTTTTGCACTGTGCCATGTTCACTGAAACTTGTGCTAACAGAGCTGTGTCATTGCTTGGCACAGTTTCACAGCCGTTGCAATACAGTATTCCTTCTTTGCCACCGAAAGCCCAGGTTGCACACTGCCTTTCTTTGGAGTCTGCCCATTGGCAACGCCAGCTGGGTTCACCATGCTCTTCTCACTGTGACTTTTACACACCACAGCCTTTGCAGTATCACACAGAATACAATTATCTGTTTGCTCATCACTCTCCTCAATTAAATGGTGAGCATTTGGAGGGACACCTCATTGTTAGGGCTAACTGTCAATCTCTAAGATTAGAACAACAGACATTTAACTTAGGAGAGAAAACTACCAGACACATGAAATGGCTTGTCAAGAACCCACAGAAGCCTAAGCCCTAGTGTATTTTCTCCTTTGTAAGATTTTTGCATCATTTATGAGGGGACACACAATTCCAGCAACCAGGAAAATCAACATGTAAGACAAATGTTTCATTGAAATGTTCAAAGGCAACATGTAAACAGGAGAAATAGAATTTAGAGATATGCTTTATGTAAACTTAAACAGATTAGCTAGACTTATAGTAAAAACACTGTAACTGCACTCTTTACAAGCCTGAGGCTATGCCACACACAATTTATCATGCAAAAACAACAAAAAAACAATTTATCATGCTACATGTACCTCATTCACTTGCACTTAAGAGTAATAATAGTAGTAGTTAAAAGATACGAGGCAATATATCAATCCTTCTATAAAAGTTAATGTATTTCATCCTTATATCATAAACATAAAACTTATGAGGTTGTTATTATGATTTCTTTTTGTAGACGAGGAACTTGAACTTTAGCAATCAAACACTCTGTTAAAATTAGTGGCAGAGCCAAGACACAAAACCAGTTTTCATTGACACATCTGTGCCAGTCACTCCTGTATTTCTTTGTTATCCATGACAGCTTCCCATAAACCTTTCTTTATTTCACATTTACTAAGACAATGCCAAAGTTGTTACATTTTTTAAATTAATAGACTGCAAAAGGTATTGAATAACTCCCATAGGAGGCATCTGCTGGATTGGTTCAGTCTGAGTGTCTTAAACTGTTTTTTTAAAGCTAGTAGTCCTACCCTACCATCCTCCGTCACCGATGAAAAGATCTGACCAGGGCTGTGCTGCTAAACAGACAGATCTTAACTGTGCTGGCCGTGAACTAGAGGTGAAGAAAAGCTCCCACAGCCAAGAAAGGGTGAGAGCAGGAAAAGATGCCAAAGTTAATTCAAATGAAGAAATAATAATAGATAATGTGCTTAGTATAACAAAGCAACAGTTAGAAACTGCAAGCTAATTTTGACATTTTGTCTTTCACACACAATAATTTTAAACACTTGTCATTCATGCTGCATAATTATCATTTTTGAATCCTGATCAACATCACACATAAAACACAAAAACAAACCTTCATCATATTTCTAATCTCTACAATTCCTTTTACTATTGAAACAAAGTAAGTCTATAATGTCAGCAATGTGAGATGACACAGCAAAAATTTCATGCTTCAAATGCTTTGTTTTTTCTTTTCATTCTTAGAGACGTGCTTAAAATAGTAATAGTCTACCTGATTACTATGTACTCTGCATGAGTTTCACAGTCTATATTACCTTCCATCAAAGAGATGATTTAGCATTTGACAGCCACTTTCAGCCACTTCTGGAGATTGGATATGCCTCTGCATTAATTCCAGGACATTCAGGTATATTCCTTTAGACAGCAGGATTTTTCTGACTTTGACTGCAAGATATTTTTTGAGGTTACCCGTAAAAATGAAAGCACATTTTCATAATTTTGCAATAAGATATAGAATATTAAGATGGTCTAACATCTTAGGAGAGCGTATGCACAAATATATATATATATATCTCCTTGGCAAATTAGAGGTTAATGTCTATTTCTTTAATATTTACATATTCTCTGTACTTTCACATTTGTAAGTTTTTTGTTGAGGTTCACATTTGGGTTGTTGTGAGCTACTCTGTCCATTTACCACGGTGGAAAGTGGAAACATGCTATTTCTACATACGCCATTATGTGCAAAAGGACAGGAAGCATGACACTGAAGCAAAAACAGTTTCATTTGCTGGCAAAGCTTAAGTAGACAGAGACATGTCTGACAACTCAGTGTACCCTACATGCACAAAACAACCATATTCTAGAAGAAGCATTGCATACTAATTTTCCTTTTGCAAAAAAAACTTTACTAAATATAATCTATTGCTTTGAAGTTTTCATATATGTACCAATTGTCTTGAAGTCTCTACATAAATATAAATTCCAACAGTATATACTGCAATTCAATACTCTGAAAGCGTCAGAGAAGGAAAATTGGAAAGTTTCAATTTCCGCACTCTCTTAAAAAAAAGAAAAAAAAAAGGTCAATCTCAAAAAGAAAAGGCAGAACAAAATACAGAAATAAATCAAAGTGATCAAAACATTCCAAAAGAATGCCAAACCTCAAAAGTAATATCTTTTTAAAACAACCACAATGTCCCATGTCAATATATAAGGAGTTGGTTACTTGGTTTGATCACATCAGAAGTTGTAACTCTCCCAAAGTGAATAGAGTCTAACCAAGGAGATATTTTAAAAGATAAACATTATTCTAGACCAGTGGTGCATACTTTTAGTATGCATCAGATTTACTTGGAATGTTTGTTACAAGACAGGTTATTGGGTACTGACTTCAAAGTTTATCACATTCCTTAGGTTTGTGTGGGGCTCCAGAATTTACATTTTTTAAGAAAGTTCCCAGGAAATGCTACTGGTCCAGCGACCGTACTTTAAAAAGCACCATTCTGCCGGGCATGGGGGCGCAAGCATGTAATCCCAGCACTCCGGAGGCTGAGGCAGGAGGATTGCTGTGATTTCGAGAACAGCCTGGGCTACACAGTGAGTTCCAGGCCAGTTTCAACTACATAGTGAGATCCTATCTCAAAAAAAAAAGCAATAAATAAATAAATAAATAAAATAAAAAGCACCATTCTAAAGAGTAACCCAATGTATGACTTGTATTGCAAATACCACACTAGGAAGAAATCGCATCATAAAGTCACAAGACATTGTACACATTTGCCCGCTATCCAAATAATACTAGAAAGAGCAGAGAACTGATTTTGAAGATATACATCGATTCAGTCTGAACATCACTAATGTTTAATACCATAATAAGAAGCAGTCCAAATCTCACAAAAGTATGGTTGTTTTGTTTGCCTATTAGTAGAGATTTTGCCAGACTGCTAAGAATTATAGAACCAACATGTCCAACTAGACATGGTGAAATCCTAGCACCTGAAATCCTAGCACTTGGGAGGCTGAGGCAGTAGGACTGCCACTAGTTTAAGGCCAGCCTGGGCTACACAGTAAGTCCAAGGTCAGCCTGAACTTTGAGACCTGTCTCAAAATACTAAAACACAAAACAAAACAAAAAAACGCAAACACTCAACTGTTCATACACAAAAACCACTGCCTCCACTGTAAGAAAGCACAGAAGCGTCAAAAGTCCAGGTTTCATTTTCTGGAATGAAATCTCTGTCCGGGCCTCTTTAACTGCACAGTAAAATACTGGAGATGCAAGAATAACCATTGCCTTTCCCACCCTGCCTGCTCTGATTCATTACCCTGAAGGCAAGCCCTGTCTGACTTTCAGGGACCTTGTCACTCCAAGCCTCTTATTAAACTACGATCAGAGAGATGGGGTGAGAAAGAAGGAGGAGGAAGGACCATTTTCCTCTTGATTTGACTGTGCATGAGATATCTTTCCCTCCACCCAGATCCTCTACTAAAAGCTGGCATGTGCACTGTTCTCAATATGGATCTTTCGATGTTTTTTCCCATGTTTCGCTCTCTAAAAATACGCTGTAAAAGCTGCCAAGTTCCCATGCTTTTATGATGAGTTTTCCCCCAGTGTTTTCGGGCAGTATTTCCTGATTGTGGGGCAGGAGTCTGAGCAGCCTGAGCCATGATCTTAAACCTCAAGGGTCCTCCCAAACATGTATGACCCCTTTTTTTCTTTTTAATCCTGCTTCACTGAAACACTTACAAGAATTGCACATAGAGGATCGTTTTTAAGAAAAATTGTAGCACAAAAATATCATACTGGATAGATTTTTAAAATGGTGATTTATTTCTCCACCCAGGTGCATTTCTATAAGGTCTTGTTAAGAAAATAACAGGAAAAAAAAGAGCAATCCTTTCGTGTTTACTATAGGATCCAAAAAAATCCCACTAGGCATAAGCTAAAAGTCCAGCAATGAAGAGATTTCTATAAAACAAGCTACAGGCAAACAGGAAAAACCACACAACTGTTAAAAATGATAATGTTAAAAATATAAATTTATCAACATGAAAATATACAATATGATTTTTAATAAGGGTATAACATGATCCGATTTCTGCAAAATAAGATAAAATATATTGCATATGTCACGTGTGAGTAGATATATAGAAGCCCAGAAGAACACACGTCCAGGCACTTATTTTATTCTCTATCCTTTACCTGTACCTCAGCACATCCGTATGTCAGTTTCACATCCACACATTTGAATTCTTCACAATACACAGCTTTCATAAGAAAACACAGCACTGTGTGTGTTATCTAAAAATGTGAAGCTCCCCTTACCGTTTTGTTCTAAGAGTGTGGACAGCGCAGCCGCCGAGGCCCGCAGGACCTCCCGCGATGAAGAGTGCATGAGCATGGCCAACATCACCTCCTTGTGCACCGGGAACCTTCGAGAGACGCAACCGTGACGTCAGGGGTCAGCGTGAAAACTTCACTGCTATCTGATGACTCTAATCCCAATGAGGGCAGTACTTGTAAATAATACTTTATGTCACCTCCACGTGCAAGGATGAATGCTAAGAAATTAATATTTCCAGGGCCGGGGATTTAGCTTAGTGGTTCCGCCGCCAGCCTCGCAAGCGCAAGTTCCCGGGTTTGATTCCCAGTGCCAAAAAAAAAATTACTGAAAAATTAATATTTTTGTATTTCTTCAAAAGATGACAAACAATAAAAATGCTCAGCAGATACATTAAAAAGGTGCTTGGAGGAAAAAGGTGATGTGAGTAAAATAGGATAATGGGAAGAGAAAGAAGAAACTAAAAATTAAAAATCATAAGGAAACAAATGTATGTTCATAGATATATTTTCTTTTAATATTATTTTAAGACTCTCCTACAAACACTGAAAAATAGATGTACAATAAACTGTAATTTATAAACTGCAACATGAATCTGTCTTAACCTAATCTCTTGAAAAAGCCTGACCATTGTGGGATTATTCTGAGGCTGATTTAACATGTAGTTTTCAAAAGAATTACTTTTGCTCAAAATGGAAATGTTTAATTAAACAGCATCTGTTTCACTAATTCCCTTCTTATTGGCACTGCATCATTATGCAAATAGGCTGTCAGGATTTGAGATGTCGAATATCACAGTGTGAGTTTCCAGAGTGAGTGGTTTGTATCTTAAGCCCCAGAGGAAAGGCAGAGAAAGGCACAGGTATCAGCAGCTGCCACAGAAAGTGGAAGGGCACGATGAGAAGCCACTCTGATGTACAGGAAACTCCCCATTATAGTCTGAATGAGGGAGGAAGGCGGTCTTAGGGAACTTGCATAGCCGCTGTTCAAAGTCTCCTCACCCCCGACAGCTTCAACCTTCCCAGGAGAAGGCAGAGCAATCCTGCCACATCAGGTGAGACCACACAGTGGGAGGTTTCTAACCAGCTCTAATTCCTGACTCTTGCTGGCTAGTCACCGCGGCAAAGGGAGTCACACACAGTTTGGGGTTCCTGAAATGAGGGAGTGGGGCATCTTCCCGTGGTCAGCCGCAAACTGATCCTTCTCTATGATTCACAGCTCACTGAACAACTCAACTGCCAATAATAAGTAACTCACGCACACCACCTTTTCTAACTATTAAAAGCCAAGAGATTAAACTATGATATATTCATCGCTAATACACAGCAACAATTAAGGCATACACATCTACACCAGAAATATTTCTAATGCTGAAAGCTATCATTGAGGTATTTGATATGTATTGATTAAAAATATAACTGAAAGCTTTGGAAGTATAACTTTGGAACTACTGACTGGCCGTCTTCATCCCCGATCTTCTGGTGTAAACTGCGTTGGTACATAAGGAGATTGTTTAGTGCCCAGCATGCAGCCTCCTGCATGGAGGAGGAGAAAAAGAAACTTGTCAACACAGAAATGACCGGAAACCATAATTGTGAATAACGGCTATTTATGAGAGGCCAACCTGCACGTGTTTATTCTTCTTGTGCCATGTTAAGGCCCTGTAACAGGCCTCCAGCCAGAACAGCTTATCTCCCTCCTTCTCCTCTTCCTCATTCTCCTGGTTCTCATCCTTCTCCTCTAAGTCTTGATTTAAGAAAATGGTCTCAGCTTGAAAAAAAATTAAAAATAAATACATATCTTACATACATATAATTCACCGGCAGTTTGAATAAGCATTCTAAATCCGTATTTTGAAATGTTTATCAACAGAGAAGATTTTTTCTTTTTCTTTTTTTTGGGGGGGTACTGGGGATCGAACTCAGGTCCTTGCACTTGCGAGGCAGGCAGCGGAAGCACTGAGCTAAATCCCAGCCCCCAGAGAAGGTATTCTTTAGTGGCAGGCTCAGTTAATTATAAAGCGATTTTTAATGAATACTCCTATTCCATACAGATAAATGATAAAGTGAAGAAAGTACCAAAAAAAGTAATCAACTAGAAGAGGATTATTTTAAAAGATTAGCAACCCGATGAAGAAAATGAAACCAATGATGTCAAACAAAACTCTGTATGAGCAAGGACCTCATAATTCCTAGTTCTCTAGAAAATATCCTCTGTTGGAAAATGAATTACATTGGAACAGAAACAGCATTTAATGCTTGCTTCTCTGCATGCAACCCCCTTTTTATAATATTAACATTCAACATCAAATGCACCCATGAGAATTTTTCTTGTAGGCTTACGGTGTGACTCAGTAGTAGGACACTTGCCTAGCATGCACGAGGCCCTGGATTCGATATCCAGCACCAGCTACTTACTGAGAAGCGCTAAACAGCCAAGTGCCGAGATCTGTAGCACTGCATTCTCCGGATACTGCCACAAGGCTTTCACCACAAAAGCATGCACCTCATTTAACACCAGGATGTTGAAGAAATTACCTAGAAAAAAAATGAGACACTAGCTAAATTCTCACCGTTGGGACTTACATTGTCTCTAATATATATATGACGGCATTTAAATCAAAAAATTTGAGTAGGTAAGACCATCTTAATGACATTAAAACATATATTTACTAGGCCAGGGATTTGCTGAGTGGTGCCACCGCCTGCCTCACAGGCGCAAGGACCTGAGTTTGAGCTCCCGTACCAAAAAAAAACTAAAAAACCAAAAACAAAAACATATATTTACTTTACTTGAATCAGAGTATTTTCATGTGAGTGAATAAGGTTTGAAGTTTTGCCCACGATGTCATTTACATACCTTACTTATAAAATGAAAATATATGTGTTATTTCAACTTTGTGGCCTTTGACCCTAACCCCTGTCAGCATTCTATAAAAATAATGAGATGTCCTCTCTCCACGGCACTGCAGTACCCACTCATGAAATAACTTAATTTTCTTTCCTTCTAAAAGATATTTATCTTTTTGTAAAAACTCTTTCAAAAATTAATCCTTTTGGGCCGAGGATTTAGCTCAGCGGTTCGGTGGCCTGCCTTGCAAGCACAGGCACCTGAGTTCAATCCCTGGTAACAAAAAAAAAAAAAAATTAATCCTTTTGTTGAAACATGCTTTTCAGTTAAAGAAATATGTGCCTCTTGGCAAACTCTTTACCCTGCTTACTATTTGATCTGGCATACCTTGAGATTTTAGGAAAAAAAAATATTTCACCACCTTGAACCCACCCAGGGAAATAGTCTCATAGCTTTTTGTACCCAACCATCTGAGCATTTTAACAAACCCTCAAAAAAATCTAAATATTCCTGGGAAGAGAATGTACACATTAGATTCTTGTTAGTTTCCGAGACAGGGTCTTTCTATACAGTATCATGCAGGCTGTCTCTCAACTCACTATGTAGTCCAGGCTGATCTTAAATTCACAATCCTCCTGCCTCAGCCTCCAAAATGCTGGGATCACAGGTGTATGCCACACACCCAGCATTTCCTCATTTCTTCATGCTAAAAATATCCAAACTTCTATCTGTTAGCTTTCTGATGTGTACAGTACATTGTCATTATCTATTGTCATCTTACTGTGGAAAAGCACCACACCTTCACATTTCCTAAGCCACAGGTTTTCGTATGTTAATGTGATCATAATACCAAAATCCCAGCTCCCAGGATCATTTTATGGATCAAAAAAGTACAGATATATATATATACATATGAAACTGTCAGAAACTATGAAAAAAGTCTGCAAATATTAAGACAGTTTTATCATCAAATAAAAACTTATGAAAGAAATAATAAGCTGAAGCATTGCATAAAAAATATAATTCTTTGGGGGGGGGGTACTAGGGATCAAACTCAGGTCCTTGTGCTTGCCAGTCAGGCACAGAACCACTGGGCTACATACCTGATTCTAATTCTATTTTTAAAAATTCATTTTAATTAAATCTACCTAGAAAATTTCCTAACACTAAAGCTCCCAAGTTATACAATCACGACTCTAGAAGTGAAATGTAAGTTGTTAGAATAAGATCATAAAAATTAGGGGTTTTTTTCAAATGAATGATGATTTGTCACCAAAGTTGTAATGATGAAAAGCTAAATGCTTATTCCAAAAATCCTAATTTTGCACAAAATATCACCAGTGATCTTCATAGGAAAGATCATCAGAACCAACTTCTAAATACTAATGATCCTTATTGTTCACCCACTGCACACTTGGTAATGCTTTGACCCCCATATAAAAACATAAAAGAAATCAAGCTGTGCATGTGTTGGAGCAGAGTGCAACAGGGAGCTGAAACAAGAACTGACTTGGGAGCAAATGGACAAGCTGGAGTAGCCTTGCAGAAAAGCAAGAATTCTGCCCCTGCAATCAGTAGAGTCTCCTCACACTGCGTGAGACAGGGGAGGCCAGCCAGTCTCCCTCCCGCATTGAGCTTGGGTCCTAACAAGGTCACACGGCACCTTCGTGTCAGCCTTGTATTCTGCTTCCCGGCAAACATCTCTAGAGGAGCAGCTGCAATTTGGTCTTTAGGATGCTCAGATATTAAACACACTCCCAAGAGCTCAGCTATTGAATCAGTCTAGAAGCCCGTGAATGAATAAATGGATAAAGAAAATGTGGCATGTGTGTGTGTGTGTGTGTGCGTGTGTACACATACACAAAATGGAGCATTATTCAGCTGTAAAGAACGAACTCTTGATGTTTTCAGGAAAGTGGATGACACTGGAGAGTGTGCTATATGAAAGAGGCCAGATTCAAAAAGAAAAATATCATATGTTTTCTCTCATATGTGGAAAGAAAAAAGAAAGAGAGACAGAGAGACAACATGAATGTATTGAGGGACTCAGAGAGGAGGAAGGGGACAGGGCACAGGAGCCAAGGGGCCCTGAGAGTGTGACATGCATGTACACCCTGATGAAAGGGACCTATCAAGCTGTACCACTGGTGTGCACTGAAACAGCGTCAGACACAGAATACGATGCAACTATGTACTAATGATTAAAGAAATTTTAAAAGAATTAAAGAAATTATTTTAAAAGAAAATAAGGTGAAAGGGGAAAACAGTCAACAAAAGGCGGTCAAACAGCAGAACTGTAAGTACAAAAGAAGATTTTCAGAAATTTACTTTTAAAAATCTAATAAGTGATCAGGCCAAATTTATCATAGGAGTACAAGGTGGCTTCATATCAAAAAGCCCATAGATTTAAATTCCACATTATCAAAAGAAAAAAGTCTTAATGTTTTTAGATAGTTGACAAAATTCACTGTTCATCTGTGATTTTTTTTAAAGTCCACATGTAAAAGTAAAAGCAAATCAGAAACAGAAGGAAATATCCTTTTATTTCTTTATTTGTTTATTTATTTAGGCGGTGGAGATTTAACTGAGGCCCTTGGGCAAGCTAAGCGTGTGCTCGCTTCGGCTCACCCCCAGACAGAAATGTCTCAGCTTGATTAATTCTACTTGTTACAAAACAAGTAAGACAAGTTGTAAAAGTTTTTTTAAAAAATTATAACAAGCATCATTCAGAATGATAGAATGCTGGAAGCTTTCTCTTTAAAACCAAGAATGACACAGGGATACTTACTACTGCTTCTATTCAGCCTTATCCTAGTAATCCTGGGCCATGCAGGAAGACAGGAAATGAAATACAGGCTATTGGGAGTGGAAAGGAAGAAGTCAGACAAAGAATTGCCTCCACTTCTTCACGCAATTACAGTTGAAAACTATAATTTTAAAAAAAGATATCATTTACAATGATAACAAGAGCTAAAGTATCCCAAAATAACTGACAAACATGTATGAGACTTTTATGGAATAAATTAGAATGTAAACATGTCCTTCCTTCCTAAATTGATCTGTGATTTGTACATCTTTAGTCAAAATTCCTTCGGGGTTCTGAATAGGGACAAGTAGATTCTAAAATTCGTATGGAATAAAAAAGACCCAAGAAAGAAAGCTGAGAGGTGTTACCACAAGATGACCTGACCCACTAGGTTATCAGATATCAGTCTTCCAGAGCTACAGTGATTGAAACAGTACAATACTGATCCAGACAGATCACGTCAATCAAAAGAACAGCAAGAACAGAAACATACGTAGTATCCCACACCACCGGGACATGGGAGGACCATATACTACACTGTACTGTGATGGTAACTAACTATCCATATTAAAACAGGAAAAAAGAGTAATTGAAATCTTTACCCAAAAAAATTAATCACAATGCTTTAAAGAGAAAAGCTCAGAGAAAACATCGAATATATTTATCACCTTAGAAAAAGGATTTTTTTTCAACAATATGCATACCAATAAAAATAAATCACAAAGCAATTGATTATTAAATTTAACCGTTTGACAAAAGCCACTATAAAGATGGCGACAGGACAGGCTACAAATCAAGAGATGTTTTCCACTAACCAAAACATTATTACCCAGAATCTACGAATCAATTTTTTAAAAGACCACCCTATCAAAAATGGATACAAGGTAAGATTGTACCTTTCACAAAGTAGAAAGCACCAAAAGCAGGGCCGGGATTTAGCTCAGCGGTTCGGTGGCCTGCCTCACAAGAGCAAGGACCAGAGTTCAATCCCCGGTACCAAAAAAAAAGAAAGCACCAAAAGCAAAGGAATATTTGAAAGTAAATACTCAGTCTTATGTTTCCATAGCAACACAGGTGGTCAGCACAGTAGTGTAAAACAAAATTCAGGGGCTGGGGTAAATCCCCGGTACCAAAAAAAAAAAAAAAAAATATGATGTAACATTGATGACACACAAAGAAGTGAGCACACATGTACAACTTTAAGGAAACATGAAAATGTAGTAAAAGTATATTCAAAATGGGAAAGACTGATCAATATAACACGATGGTGAGTGATAACCTTCACAGATAAAGAAGAGACAATGGCCAGGTGTGGTGGCGCACGCCTGTAATCCCAGCACTCGGGAGGCTGAGACAAGAGGATCGCTGTGAGTTCGAGACCAGCTTGGGCTACATAGTGAGTTTCAGGACAGCCTTAACTACATAGTGAGCCCCTGTCTCAAAAAAGCAAAAACAACAAAAAAAAGAGACAAGAAGGAGCATCTCTAGCCCCAGTGACATATTAATACTAAAGTTAGGTGCTTCTTGGCTCTCTGCTGCATATTTTCTACATAAAATTACACTTGTTCTTTTTAGATATCAATTGTTATAGAACTATATTTTAAGTATAGACCTAACAATAAAAATAGCCCTTTAGAATCACTTCTTCCAAAAATAATAAGATCAAAGCTTCTCTTACATTCCACAGATCTATTGTCACCACTCCTTTTAAAAATTTCATCTATGTGTGATAAAATAATCTGCTGCTTTGAAATAATTCCACGCACTCCATGTCAATATTCTACTTATTCATCAACACGTAAATATATAAATGCTATACAGACTCACATCGTATAGACTGTGATGGGACGTTACGAATGATAACTCACCTAATGTAAGCCTATGGAGTAAGCAGCAACTCACTTCTTGAATTTTCTCACTGAGAGGGAATGCTTTCATGGCTTCTACAGCGATATTATAGCATCTGACATTGCCACTCATGAGGACTTCAACATTATTGCCTAAATGTAAAGGAATCATAATTATTATAAAGTAAGAATTTTCTCCTTTCAAATATGCCTACAAAGGGCCAGGGATTTAGCTCAGTGGTGCCAGCGCCTGCCTCGCAAGTGCAAGGGCCCGAGTTCAATCCCTGGTACCAAAACAAAAACAGAAAAAAAGATAATACAAATACGCCTACAAAAACATACCAGCATAATGCCTACAACTCTAAACTTATGTATCATGTTATATCAAAGAGTTATGAAAATATTATGCTACTCATTGCTAATATAATGGAATATAGGACTCATTTTTGGCATTGAGGGAAATTTTCTTTAATCTTATTTTTTGGCTTAAAATTTTAAAACAAAGAAAAAAAATTGACTCTAAGTCTAAAAATGGCCATTTTACAAACACTAACAAATATAAATATAAAGAATTTTTTAAAAATAAATTTGAAGGTCTATTTTCGAAGAATCCATCGTATTTCATATCAGCTTTTGCACTGGCTGTTTCCTTCAACCCACAAGGAGAGTCCAGACTATGTCACAGAACAGAACTGCTCAAATCAGCTGAGATGTATTTCCTCCCTTCCAAAAGTACAGCCAGTGTAGGAGGCAGGAAAATCAAGCCTCCTAAAGGTGTCTAGATAGATGGAGGAGTTCCAGGGGAGGGGAGAAGGGAATTATAGCATCAAAATACACGACTAAGGGACAAATGTAAGTGAAATAGAAAGGGAAGAAAGAAGGCACTGGAAAAATGCAGTGAAGAGAGCGAGTTGTGAACCTGCATGGAGAAAATACATCTCTGAATGAAAAAGAAGAAAAACTCAGTCTGCAAACCATTTTTCTTTCCTTCTTTTTTCAGCATGGCTGAAACTGTTTTCCCAAAAATATATGTTAATGTTTAAATTATATTTTAAAACACAAGGGCCAGGGATTTAGCTCAGTGGCGCTGCACCTGCCTTGCAAACACAAGGTTCTGAGTTCAATCCCCAGTATCAGAAAAAAATAAAACACAAATTAAAAAAAAAAAAAAAACTTGCAACAAGGAAAGGAAACAGTCTGTGAAAACAAGCATCTGCTTTGCAGCAGAGGTGCAGGCATGATTTGCTCTAAGATTGAAAGGCAAACCTTTAATTTAGAGTCAGTGTTTAAAACCTTGGATTTCTTCATTTTTAGCTGCAACTGTCTTTGACCTTTGTATTATGAGTCGACACATTTTAACTGGAACTATGTCCAACGTGGGTGGGAAACAATGCATTTCAAAAACAGCGAGGCCAAAAGAAGCAAACAGTGAATAAATATAACCCAGGAAAAGTACAATGAAGAATATATTCAGTTTGCAGGCAGTGATGACTTCAGGAAACAGAGAAGTAAGGTCAGCCTCCTCTACTTTCCAGTGTTTAATTTCCTGTGGATAAGAAAACCTTACGGTTTTATAAATACCACACAAAGACATTCTTTCACAAGGGCATTGGGTTTTGAGCCTGCTACAGCGAGGCCCCACATCCCCAGACTGCTGTACTGATTCCCATATCTGAAACTAAACAAACATATTGTACACATGCCATGCATATAAACATACTGAGTCCTAGCACTTTCGGAAAGTTCAGAACACATATTCCACACCGGATACACTTTTCCTATTATCTCACTCCCTGAATCCTTAAAACAATATGTACAAGGATGAAAATATTACTAAGCAAATGCATATGTACATCTTGTACAAATCCGCACAAGGAGTACATGAAATATGAAACATTATCATACACCTACAAAACAGAATCTGGAGCATGTTTTAGTCCACAAGTCATGACTGGTAACATGCACTGCAAACTAATTTCCCCTGATTTGTACTTTTATGTGAAAAAAAAAAAAGTGGCTAAATTTCAGCATCATGAAAAAGCTAGCCAAGAAGGAGACTGAAGGTCGAACTCTTCTGTGAGGCTTTCCAGGCCTCTCCTGAACGCACTGCTCCCTTCACCTCACCCACCGACACTGACACGCCCTCCTCCTGATTCCATCCATGACTGCATGCAGACGGGGAATGTACACCTGGGTGTGCTCAGAAGCCCTCAACTTTTCTTCTTTTGGGTGCACTTTGCTCTCTCGTTTCAGCAGCTTTTAACCCACAGCAGTCACCTTGCGGGCATTTTTGTCTCGTCTCACTCATCCCCACACACAAACCTCTCCCACCATTCAGGTCTCTGCCAAGCAATCTTGCCTCCTCTCTATTCTCAAAGCCTAGGTTTCTTTGCATCACTTGCCTTACTGCCAGAGACTCCTGCAGTTAAGTCTGCAATCCCCACCGGCCCAGAGGTGCGATGCAGGCCTAAGAAAAAAATACACTAAGAGACAGAACTAGGAGAGAAAAGAGGTGCCAGGACCACCATCGAAGGCACTGGATGGACAGTCCCAGGCACTGACTTTTATGGGATAAAGGTGACGTGTGGTTTCTATGGAAATTAATGTAAACAAAGTTCATAAAGGACAAGACAAAGCATTCTCAAATTAGGAACGGAACAGACAAAATACACGATTGTAATTAGAACACTGTCCTTCCAGTCTGAAGTTATTAGCTGTAGGAATAGAATTTGGGTGTGAGTTACTCCGACCCTGGCACGCAGGCCTCATCTGGACTCACTTCTAGAAACAATGCACCGCAACCACCTAGGCATTTATCTGTACCCCCATCATGCCCTGAATCCTAAAAAGGCAAGGAACATGCTCATATTTTCCACTCATGATTCCCTGGCACCAAGCCCAAGGCCAGCTGCAATACAGTCTCAATAAATACAAATTAATTAAATTAACAAACAAATGAATTTAGCATCTGCAAGTCGCTAGACAATAAAAATGTTTTCAAAACATGTTCAGAAAGGAGAGATGATACTGTAATTTTTCCTACGCAGAAAGAAATCCCGTTATAGTCTACTTACAAGGAATCGCTAGGGAATGTAAACAGCAAAGTACATGAAGCACGATTTCCTCTTCATCTCTGAAAGTATTTAATGCATTTAGCAGTATCATATAATCTTTGTTCTCAACAAATTCAGTCAGTTGTTCTTCAGAAACTGAGAAAGGAGAGAAAAAATACTGAGGAAGCTTAAAAAAATGCATCCATCGTATCCAAAACTAGATTCATGATAGTTGTGTAAGACACAGCAAAGGCAATATACTCAAATAAAGATGTTTCTGCAAAAAGCCTTCCTAAGAATTTTATATGGGGAAAATAAGCTATTGGTATGGAAAAATTTTGTTTTGGCCTTATATTAATTATATCATGCTTTGAAATGCAAAGGTCCCAGTTGGCAAACATTGTCGGAAAAACATAATTATTTATTAGAGGAAAAACAGCCAGTACCAATGGAAATGAAAATTCATAATACTTAATGCCAGCCTACTGGAAATGAAAATTAATAATACTTAAAAGAAAGGGGCTAATAGTACACTTACAGGACAGTTCTGCCAAATGTATCAGCTTAAAAGCCACAAACTTTAGCAAATGGCAAGTAATTACACTTGGAAACACTGTCTTCATGGTTTTCTATCAGAGATCAAAAACTGTCATCATTAATTTTCATAAAGTCTTTTGATCAAGTAAGTGAGTTCCACCCGAAGTTTATTTCATTAGATAGGAACCCCAAAATATACATATAAAGGGCAAGGGATGTAGCTCAGGAGTACAGCATTTTTCTGGCAAACACGAGGTCCTGAGTTCAATCCCTGGTGCTTTTTATATATAAAAAAAGTCTGGTTTACTTAGCTTGAAAATGAAAAAAATGTTATAAAATGAAGCATTTTTTGTGATCAACATTAATTTTCTTAATTTGATACTAAAATGCCCACATAATACAATATGAAATTGGTTACTTTCTTTTAATTATTGAGAGATACTATGGAAATACTTTATTGTATAGTGCAGTTTCCACAGTATATTTTCAATCGTTAGAAATTAACTGTATTAACCAATTTTTTAAAATTAACTTTATTGGCCAGGCATGGTGGCACACACCTGTAATCCCAGCACTTGGAAGGCTGAGGCAGGAGGATCACTGTGAGTTCAAGACCAGCCTGGACTACACAGTGAGTTCCAGGTCAGTCTCAACTACATAGTGAGACCCTGTCTCAAAAAACAAAAAACAAAAAACAAACAAACAAACAAACAAACAAACAAAAAAATATATATATATATAAAATAACTTTATTATTACTAAGTCTCCTGGGAAAACCAGAAAATTTCTCCTTCATATTTACAATCTAATGCTCTCCACACCTCTGCACTGACAATCTTTCAATTGAGTAAGATTTTTGTTGCTGTTCTTGCTGCTGCTGCTGCTGCTGCTGTTACTGGAGATTACACCCATGGCCTTCACATCATCACACTGAGATACAACCCAGCTTTTTAAAAAAAATTTTTTTGAGACAAAATCTCAAAAAATTGCTGAGTTACCCAGTTTGGGCTCAAACTTGTGATCCTCCTACCCCAGCCTCCCAGAGCACTAGGACCACAGGCATGCGGCACCACATCTGGTAAGATTCTCCTTTTTATCCTGCCCTGGTCCACCTCCATAGGTCCTGGATGGGCACCAGAGGCTGGTGAGGGCAGTGATTATCCTTCCTCAAGAACAAGAAGGTGCCCTTGAACTGCAACACTGAAGGTTATAGGCCCGTTAGCCACAGACCCTCAAACTTCATCCTGCTCAATTCTTATCAAATGTTCAGCTGCAAAGCTACATTTCCAGAAAACAGTGTTGGAAGACATGAAGTTCTCTCACTCCTTGCTCTCAGTAAACTATCTTCTCTACTAAGTCCTTCACTGCAGGCCTGGGTCCAGGCACATGACTTTCTGACTACGAAAGGGTGACTTGCATCAAAACACACATGTACTCTTTACAAAATGTGTGTACGTATTGTCTCACCCAGGGAAACCCTGGGAGGATTCTCTCAGGTCTCCCACAAGTCAGATTGCTTCTCCCGAGTTTACTTTTATCTCAAAAAACTTTATAACTAACAATGTTTATCTGTTTTCAAAGAGCCAAATTTCTGGCCCACCCCCTTGCAAATATACAGAAGGTTACATATGGTAAGCATAACCTAGCTTTATTATTTTTCCCTTTATCCACTTTCCCATCCCTTTTTCTTTAATGTGTGTTCCTTTCGAAATCATGCGGGGTATTGAATCACACCACGTGCTCTAACCTGTTTGTAGAGCTGCGGGAAACCAGCGTGGCAAAGCAATGTTGACAGCAGAGCCTGCCTGAATCATTCTCATCCAGAGCCCCAGCAGAGCTGGTTCTCGGAATGATGCAAAAGGGAATCTCAGAACCAATACTGCAACTGGCATGCACCCTCAGGCAAACTGCTCACTTTCCTGACCCATTTCCTCCTCTAGCCAGGTGATTACAGACTGCGACCAGCTCTAAAAATCCTGGTAATCACTGTTAGCAATCTCAGTGCAACCCTGTGACATCCGTCCAAGTCCTTTTCCTCAGGGAAACTTCGTGAGCCTCCTGGTTCTTCAAGCCGAGCCTCCAGCATTTCTAACCGCCCCCCTTATGACTCAGTACCATAAACCCACACTTAACCTATACTTGGTTTCAGGTTTATATTTTCTATCTTAACATCACACAATCCAGTTTTTAAAGAGAAGCTTATGCCTTGCAAAGCAATGAAAGAAATTCTACTATACTTGCATGAGTCGTAATCCATGAATGAAATTCACTGCACAGGGACAGGCAAGATCTCTGAATTCATTACTTACTCTTGACAGACAGCTCTCACTTATTAACAAATAGTATGATTTTAATATCTTTTTCTTGTTATAATTATATTTCACTTTCCATATATACCTATATATGTATGTATGTATAAATTTGACAAATTTGTAATACCTCTCTCAAACAGCACATGTAAAGCTTTGCATCCCAGTTTCTGGACCTCATCATTGCTTGAAAATGTGCTCATGGCATCAAAAATTAACAAGAAAATATCACTTTCTTCTTCTAATATCAGCAGTGTGATTTTTCCTATTTTAAAGAGAAGAAAATATCCTTAGTAAATAGCTGTCATAACAGTTGGAGCATTGATTTTTTATATAAGGACTATGACTGATTTGTATACTTTTATTTTGATAGGCCACTTAATTTTCCAAATGCTAGCTCTGTTAAGCTCTAGGGTCCTTCTGAGTGAGATAAATTCCCAATTTAGTTTATCATTTTTGATTCCCAGGAAACACACAGAGCTTACGCCTCTTGCACTAAACACCTAAGACAAGTTTCTACCTGAATTTTAAATAATACCTTCTGAATATTCCATGAGATCCCCAGATCTAGACTACTTCTCAGCTCTGTCTTCATGAGTGACACATCACCCATAGTTTCTCAGAAAGAAACTACCAAGTTTCTTCCTTCTTCCATCCCCCTTCTCTGCTTTGTAATCCACTGAACCAACAAATCAACTCGGTGCCAAGAGTTATCTCCTAAATATCTCAAAAATGCTTTTCCTAACAATGTCCTTCTATTCCTATGCTTAGGACCCTATCATATCTCACCTACAATGCAAATACACTGTCTTAATTTCTCAGCTTCACACATAACTCTACCCAGACAGCTCACTCCCTGCATTCTATTTCTAACATACAAATACGATTCTATAACACCCTTGCTGCCACCTCCTGAGGCCTCTCCTTCTCCTTCATATGACAAACACAATCCTTTGCAAAATGACCACATGGATCTCGGCAACCTCACATCCTTCCACACTTGTTTCATCTTCAAACATGCTGAACTCTTGCTCACCACTAAGCTTTTTAAACAACACTCTCCATTTGCACTCCTGTAGAATACTCTGCCCTTTTCTGTACCTAACAAATTCCTGCCATAATCTGAGAAACAATGCCTATTCTGTCAACAAAAATGAACGTGCTGGAATAGGACTGGTGGCCGTAAATACTTTTTCAACAATCAGAAGACTGAGGCACTGAAAGGTGAACTTTGCCAATAACATATAAGAGGCAGGGATGGATTAAAATGCAGTCAGGCAATGTCCACGCTCTTAACTCCTACAAGTGAGGTTGGCTACCACCTCTTCTATGGGAGTATTCTCTATATTACTGTTACAGTACTGTTCTCACTAAATTTCAGTCATTACTCCTCTCAATGCTTCAAGGTGCCTATGCTGTCTGTCCCCTGACAGAGTTGCTAGTCATATGTGTCAAATTAAAGTCAAATTTAACTTTATTAAAGTTAAGTTAAATTAAAATTAAGTTAAATTAAAATTAAGATCCTCATATCTCAAATGTTCAAAGGTTATAGACTCCCAAGTATGGTACTGGACAATCCAGACACAGAACATTTTTATCACTGCAAGAGTTAACGTTGAAGCCAGGCATGGTGGCGCGTGCCTGTAATCCCAGCACTCGGGAGGCTGAGGCAAGAGGATCACTGCGAGTTCAAGAACAGCCTGGGCTACATAGTACATAGTGAGTTCCAGGGCAGTCTGAACTACATCGTGAGACCCTGACCCTGTCTCAAAAAAATTAAAAAGGAAAAAAAAAGTTAACATTGAACAGCAATGCTAGAGTGTGAACTTCTTTGTGGTAAGAATGTGCCTTATCCGTCTTACTATTCTCCAATACCCCAATGACCAATAACTATTAAAGCAATTATTTAATAGCCACACAAAAATGATGAGTCATAAATCTGCCTCTAACAGTAACTAAAATAAACTTTAAAACTCATGTAAAACTTTCCCATTGGCTCAAAATTTAGAATGTTATGTGGGAGAAATTAACCAATATTTTCCAAACACATCATGTCAAATTCCCTAGATGTCTTCACATTTACAACTTTTATATATCCCAATGTTGTGAAAATTTTTTCAGACTCATAAATCCTTATCTTCCTGTCCACTGCCAAATGGAGAATAGAGATGAAGACAAAGAAGAGGGAGAAGGAGGGAGGAGAGGAAGAAGAGGGAGAGGGCAAAAGAAGGAAGAGGAGAAGCAGTCCGCAAGCATAGGATTTAAAATAAATCATAGTTAAAATGGTTAGCACATAACATTGCATGATTTTAATAAAAGGCTGTGTTGGAATGTCAGGCATCTTCCAACCTTTCCGCTCTTCTTCATGCACTAGTCTTCACTCTCCTTCATCCTTCTCTGCTGCACAGCCTTCGTTAGCAGAGCCCACGAGTCCATAATTCTCCCCACCGCACATCCAGCCTCTCACACTGACCTCCAAGGCCTCTGCAACTCTGCATCCAAAGTTCTCTGAACTCAAAACCTTGTCCCTTACACTGATGCAGACTCCACCCAGTCCTTCCAGGTTAGGTCCCCAAGGAGCAGAACCTTTCCTCTCAGCACCTGAAGACCTCCAGAGACCGTCGAACAATGGCCACAGCCTTTGACCACATCGGTATTTTTAGAGGTCCTTTATCCTCCAGGCAGAAGTTCCCCCAGGCAAAGAAGCCTACGTGTGCAATGACAGCCTGGCTCTAGCAGTTAGCAGTTTAAGCAACTCCCCTCTGCCTTAGGGTTTCTCACCCATCTCAAAGGGGGTTGGGAGGATTAAGTGTCAAAAAGCAGGCAAGCTATTTACTTGTGAATTCTGACATCTGGCAAGCATTCATGAAGCAGTGCTGTCTACTTTTTCAACATTGTTATTACAGCATACCCTAGAGCACATATGACAGAAAACACATTAAAGATGTACATGAAGAGAGATATAATAATGGCAAGGGCACGGCTGGCCACCAAGCTAGTGATAAAGGAAATACGGGACCACATTTTATGAGCAAAGCCAGGGTTAGGAATAAAAATTTGGGAAGACTATATAAGGTAAGGCTTAAAACCAAGACAACAGCAGGGTGTGGCGGTGGTGAACACCTGTAATCCCAGCGCTTGAGAGGCTGAAGAAGGAGGATCGCTGTGAGTTCAAGACCAGTTTGAGTTCAAGGGCAGCATGAACTACACAGCACGACCCTGTCTCAAATAAAAATAGTAATAATATAAAACCAAGATATTGAGTGGGAATTTTGAGAGATAATGTATAGAGAAAAGAGATCAGAGAAGATCGAAACAAAAAAATTTTGTAAATAACTGATACTCAGCTTACTTATGCTATTGTTCCAGTAAAATTAAAACATATTTAATAAATTTTAAATATTTTTAATTGAGTCAACATTAAAAATACATTAGTGCATTACCTGAAGTTAAGAGGAGATCTAAAGCCTTTAGTCCAACTGTTGACAGGTTTACATTGGCATGATGAACTGTCAGCATTTTAAGAATCAGTCTAGGGTTAAAAATGAGAAATCAGATAATATAATTATAGAATAAAAGATTATACTCAGAAGTTTTATAGTATCTAAAACTACATTTAGAAACTCTCACTTATATTTTTATTATTTTCATTATATCTGTTTCCCTATAATGAGGCTAACATGTTTTCACCTTCCTGAAAACCTGAACCTGGTTTATGAAAATTAATGGGTTGGGGCTGGGGATGTAGCTCAGTGTCACCGGGTCTGCCTTGCAAGTGCAAGGACCTGTGTTCAATCCCTGGTACCAAATTTTAAAAAATCAATGGGCTTGCTGGGGTGTGGCTCAGTGGTAGAGCACTTACTGAGCATGGGAGGCCTTAGGTTCAATCCCAGCACCAGAGAGAGAGAGAGAGAGAGAATATTAATTACCTTGATAATAGCAAATATTTCACATATGTATCAAGTCATCAACTTGTACACGTTTTATACATACATATATATATATATATTATTTTTAATCATCAACTCTATTTCAATAAAGTAGGGGGAAAAAACAGAAGAAACTTAGGCTGGGGGTCTAGTTCAGGGTTAGAATACTTGCCTCAAATATGCAAGACCCTGCATACACTCCCCAGCCAGCAATGGAAAAAGAAAAAGAAGCAATGCATAAAGAAACTTGAGTGGGAACTCTTATGAATCTCAATAGAAAAGTTATAAACACTGTTTATTTTCTGCTAAAATCCATACTCAGTTACTATTTTCACCCAACGAACATACACAAAGTATCATGAAGAGTTAACATAGTCAATTGTTGTATGTAATGTAAATTTATGAATTATACGTATATATGTTGAAATATTAATATGTAGAAGATCTAATAAAGATGTTAGCTTATGTAAATAAATTATTTGTTATAGGTTTTTACTAGTTTGTAAGAGAAAATATTATTTTACATTAGATAATGCACCAAGCACATATAGCATGTGATGAGTTAAAATTTCTGAGATTTGAATCCCTGTTTTATCAGCCCCAAAATGTAATCTGTAGTCTTCTCCTACCCAGTAATGTGTGGCTTTGCACTGCCGGGAGACAACAGAGATGGTGACATTACAGCTCTGTCTACACTCAAGAAACGTGTTCTGGGACCTGCAGTTGGGAAGGAGGGGACTGGAGACCCCTTTCCCTTCTCTTCCTTCCCCTCCCCTCCTGCCCTCTCTGCCCTACCATCCCAGCACCATCCTTGCCACCACAGAAGAAATTTCCTTCTTAGGGTTGTAAATCTTTAGAGGGAAAAAGCCTTGAATATACAGGGAAATATCTTCTACCATAATGTCTGATGGGTCTGCTGCACTCTAGACAACATGAGTCTGCCTTGGGCATAATTCGGTTACGTGAGGCTTGCAATAGGAGCACAGTAAATAATTAATGAATGGAAGGTGAACGAACGAGTAAATGAATAATATTTCCTGTAGAAATATTTATGTTATTAACATGAACAGTTGGCTTGTACTGGACTATGACTCCAGGGAATGTCCCAACACTCCTCAAAGTAACAGATTGGCTAATGTTTGCGAATCTTGTAAATTTTCACAAAAACCAAGGGACATTTACAGTTACCCTCACTAATTACAGACATAGAGTGTTCAGGGACAATTCCTCACTAAGTATGATAGACCTAACTCTCACAATTTCAGAAACATCTTTAAAGATGAGAATACAGACTGACTGTAAATATGCTTTTTTCAAAACATACCCTTGTGATGGTAGAAACTAAAGAACAGCAATACATTTGTCAAAACTGGAAACATGTAAAAGCACTAGGCAGCGATACGTACTCAGAAAGCAAACCAAAATTAATGCAAAATGGCTCTAGTCACATCTTAAAGTTTATGTATAAAATAGACCCATCTAAGAAAATATATAACTCTATTTTTTTTCTAAATCTGCAGCCATCATTGATACTAATAAACAACACAAAAGTGTGAAGTTTAGTTTTGCATAAATTATACTTTTCTCAAGCAATATACAATCAGAAGCAAAATGTATTCAAAATGGCATTCTCTGCAGTAGGGAAAAGTGAAATTAGGTAATGAGAAATTTTAAAGACAATGGCAGGAAATGCTTTTTTAAATGTCAAAAGATTAAATTATAAAAAGGGCTTTCCTTGAAACGTTTTTTTCTCAGAACATCTCTTAACTAATTATGACTAAGAAAGTTGTCTTATTTAAAAAGACATTATGCTGAAAATTGCAAAAATCATAGCCAGCAAAATAGCTGTCAAATTTTGGGTACAGATATGCCAAAGGTGCTTTCCTGTTCCTTCTTGTTTTTGGAAGCCTTAGTTTAAACTCACTAAATATATATGTGTAAATATACATAAATATACCAACTAAAGATGGTAAAGCATAAACTTTTAAATTACTACTTATAGAATTAAATTTACAGTTCTTACATTTTAAAAAACTAGCAGTTTGTATTGGCTCCACTACTGAAAAGCAAAAAAAAAAAAAACTTAACAAAGAACTGTTTGGTTTGTATCCTTAAGCAGGCATCAAAAACCTACAAATTAACCAATTACATAACTGTAGAATTACATTATTAAAATAATATCACCTGACATTTTACCACCAATATTAGTTTTCTAATTCAAGCTTCTGAGTATAAAAATGCAAATTACTGACCCAAGGGAAAAAAATACATGAATTTGGAAGGAATTTACTTGGGTTACAAATAAAAGATATAAGGAGAAAGACTGTCATAGGCGCAGATGAAGGTTCAATGTAATTAGTTTTTACACATCTGTCATACTCACTGATGTATTCCGAGGACTTCCCAATCATTTCCAATGTCCTGGGGGCCCATTAAGCTTTGCAGTGTACCTGGACAGACCTCTATTAATTTGCAGAGAAGAGACCAACCCACCTAAAAGCAAGAAAGGCAAATATTCACATTTTTAAAGGATGTTAATAAAACGTATTCATTCAAACATGATCTCTTCCTTCTTAGAGAATAATTTTAAATGATTATTTTAAAACAACAATACCCTAAAATACTTGATGAGAAACAAAAGCAAACAATATTCTTAGAATCCATATTGACTTAAAAACACACCAGAAGGGCATATTTAAAAAAATCATAATATTTCTGATTGATCAGGAAAATAGATACCTATTATCTAAGTAAAGCTAAGCTACAAAAGTTGTTTTAGAGACCAAACTAAAATAATTAACTGCAAGAAGAGGTACACTTGCATCTTAGTACTCTTTAAACACATATCCATTAGAATCTTTTCCAAGTATTTAAGATTTGAATGACAGGGAAAAAATGTGACCTGCAATGGAAAATTAGGAAGATGGAGATTTTAGCGGCAAGATATGACTTATCAGAAATGACTGCTCTTCAAATCATGGGGCTAGACTAATATTGGCAAAAGAAATGGCACTGTAGTCTGAAACTGCATGTGTTACAGGAAAAATAAAAGGGTCAACAGAATATGGAGGAGAGGAAGTAGATTAGCTGTAATCCCCTTACATTTCTCTACAATGTCTAGTTGTGAACTAATGACACTAGAAATCACAGATTTCCTCAGATTCTTTCACATTTCCAAGTGAAATATAAACTTATTGGTGCATTCCAAATACATCTTCACTAGATCCATTTACAAAGGGCACCGACTTGAATAAGTTGTTCTCTACTCTGAAAAATAAAAACATCAGGTTCTGACTCCAAACCAGAGATTAAATTTAATCCACTCTTCTACTTGTACTGTATATTTAAAGTATCTATAAATGTAAAGTATCTTCGATTCTTTATGTTAGAGGACGATATTTGAGATGGTCAGGAAAGAAAACAGAAAATGCTTATAAATGTAGCATCTACAAGTAATGACAAAGTATCTAAGTATGATATGTGGTGAATACCAATATGATATAAATCCTGAAAGCAACACACCTTGAGCTAAAGTTCCTCATAGAAAGATACAATATAAGAGAGGTAGGACTCGAGTCTGATTTCAAAACCGCCTTCTAAAACTGATCAGTTGTGAGGAAAGTGCCAAATGGGAAAAAAGACTGCCACAGGAAGGAAACTGTTGATGGATAAGATGCAACGCATATTTAAAAAAAGAAAGCCTGGGTACATAAGTGGAGCTCAATGATATAGAGTTGAGTAACAAAGTGAAAGATTAATGCCCATTCAGCAAAGAATAAACAAGAAGGACTAAACAAGAATACTTCACACAGATAACATCTACAGGCTCTCTTTACAGTATTACTTGTAACAGTATATCTTTACAGCGTTATTTTTAAAATTAAGCATGAATTGCTTTACTTTGCCACCTCTTCCTTTTATATAAGTCCAAATTAGTTTAAAAGGCAGCAATTTTCAACAGCTATTTTTACATACATTTAAGTAGGACATCCTCCTCCCCCACATAAGCTGTCATAGAAACCGGCTATTTTTGAGCTTTCATAAAATACTCTGAGACCTGCCTCCCCCACGTATTTAAGAAAATAACATTCTGAAGAGCTTCTGGTAATGAAAAACAAAAAAACAAAAAACAGTATACTAAACTCATGCCTGTGCCTGTACAGCTGACTCAAAGAGAAAACCTGTTTTGTTTGGGTTGGTAGGCTGCAGCTTCAATCACTCTTGGCAAAAAGATTCAGGCAACTGAACTCGCAGTTGCTCTGTGGAGTTTCTATGATTGAAAGGAACTGAAACGCCAAAGCACTGGTCACACAGTTGGCCCATTAATCTATTCTACTGAAAACTCATCCTTCAAAGCCATTTCTCTCCCTGCACAGTTCATAATTAAATTGGCAGCTTTATTTTAACTTTTCTATAAAGTGGAGCATCTGGTGTATGTGAGAAAGTCCAGGGGTTATTTTGCTGTCCTCCAAAGGCTGAAACGTGGGTAAAGCAGCAAAACTGAGGGGGACCAAAAATGACTGACAGGCAAAAAAAAAAAAAAAAAAAGTAAACAACAGCAAGTCTAACACTTCTCTCGAGGTGATCATTTACTGAGAGGCATTAATAAATTATAGAACTATTTTGAAAAGAAAAACTCAGATTCTGGAAATATTTATATCTAATGACTTCTGGGAACAAATCTTAATACTTATTTCTGAAAAATAATTTACCTTAATTTCTTATATTCATCAAGAGTTTTTAATTGGGCACTTCCAGCTAACTGAACATAAAAAGCATTAAAGAACAATCATTCTAATTATTACACCAACTGAAGAAATTTAAAGAAAAAAACTACTTTCAAATGGAATATCAAACGATCAGGAGAAAGATCCTTTTCTGCATTCCAATGAGAAGACCAAAGATAACTGAAATTGCCAGCCTAACCATAGTATTTCTATCCACTGTACTTTTTATTTTTGGTCTGTAGGACGGAAAGGCCTTTTGAAGGTATGAGAAGACTACAGTCCTGGCTTTGTCACAAGCTCCAGGATCCTCCAAATGCTACCTATTCTCACTTCAGGTAAAACAGCCGGTAAGACTTCTGAGAGGACAATGGGATTACAGAATCAAATGGTACACACACATATGACGTGCAGATATAAATACACATATGATGATGAAACCAACAAGTCTATTTCACAAAATCACCAAACAAAAAGATACTTAATTTTTTAGCATATTTTGTCTCTGATCTGCTCTGAACAAGGACTGTGAGTACCTTCTCCAGACAAGAGTGTCCAGGCCTGGGAAGTTACTAAAATTTAAGAATTATAAATTCTTATTATTAACTGGGGACATAGTGAAGTAGTAGAATGCCTGCTTAGCAAGTACAAGTCCCAGGGTATAATTCCCAGTACTGAAAACATAAATAGTGAATATGGTTCAGGCTCCCTTGGGTTTTCAAGTCTGGCACTCTGTCCTTTGGACTCTGTAGACCAAGGCTAACCCAGGGCACACTGTCCTGACCAGTACTGAGACCAGATCCCATCATATGCACAGCCTGGGAATGGAGGTGCTTCAGGAGAGGAAGAAGGATGATATGGGCAGGGCTACAACAAACTAGCAGGTAGAAAGTGACTTGGATTCAGTGGGCAAGATTCAGATTTTGAGTGCTAAAAAGAATAGTGTCCTTAGAATGCCTCTCTTTTCTTGATTTTGTTTGTAAACAGCCTGAAAATTTACAGTCAAATGAAAAATAGTTCACTGTTGAAGGAAAAAAAAATGTATGAATTCCAATATTAAAAGTCTTTATCTCAAGGAAGCAAGATAATATTCACCAACACTAGATATAGCTAGATACAGAGATACCATAAAGATAAAAACAGAGGTGGCCAATTTAGCTTAGAGATTGAGATAATGCTCACCTCTGTCCAGCCTTTTGAATATGAAGAAACACTAGTTTAAAAAAAAGAAAGCCATCAACTTTCTGAGTACACCTTCACGGAGTTAAACCCCATTCTCTGACTCTGAGTGCTAAGTGTGCAGAGGTCAAAACTGATTTCAGTTCCCCAAATCTCAAAGCGCTCTGAAGGAAGTTATCACCTCAAGCAGAAATGTGTTTTGACTTTAAATCATCCTTAAGTATCATTTTAGGGCCGCTTCTTTAATACCCAGGTAGTTAACGTATTTCTGTATTTCCTACGGATTTACACTTTACATTCTATGACACAGTGAGGGGCAAAGCAAACACTTAAACCCGAGGTAACAAACGTCACTCTTTTTAGATAATACAAGATGTACTACAACTGAACAAGGGTAGAAGTCTTCCAACAAACAACAATGCTGAAATCTAGGAGAGTCTTCCGGTTACTTGTGTCTCATTACTGTTAATTATTCCCGTTCCCCAAACTCTCCACAGCAGTGTGATACCTAGGCCACGCTGCACATTGGGAAGATGGTTACAATACTTGCTTCTAAACACTAACAAACCCCTTCAAGTAGCAGAACTAAACCTCAGCCTATTTTCATTCCGCTTCTACCACTATCCATAATTCTCAGTCAATTTTACAAAGTGAATCCTACAAGGCAGGGACCATGTAGCGGGCCCTTGTACTCTGTTAAGGCTGCCTAATGATTTGAAGTTTCTATCCTTAAAACCAGTCAGCGGTTGGACAAACCAAATCTCAGAAAAATAACCAGCAACTCTGAGCATATCTTCCAGACCAGAGGGGTGTCTTCTCAAACAGAAGGGGAAATGAGTGCAGGGAAAACAGCTCGTTTACCTGCTGCACACTCGCCACTCTCATATAGGAGTCCAAGACGATCAACAGGGGCGCGTGGAAATTTTTGCCTTTGAACAACTTGGAGGCTGGAAAACAAGAGGTGGAGGGAAATAAGCAAAGTCACCATCCACAGCACCCCCCTCTTGAGTGTGCAAAGGGAAAGAAGAGAAGCTAGAGGCGAAAGCCAAGGTCTATGCGCAATTCTCAGCACCCCCTGGGCCCTAAGGAGAGCAGGGGGCTGCGCAGCTCCCACCGCTGCGCACCAAGCTGGCACCCTGGGGAGGGCGAGGGGCTCCTGCCGCCCGCCGGTGATTACCGTGGTCGGAGTACGTGAACACCAGCATGTCCTCCAGGATCTGGACCAGAGTGTCTACCTGCTTTCCCTCCTGGACGTTGTTCAGCCTGACTATCAACTTCTTCAGAGTTTCCTCGTCCTCGCTCTCCTGACAGCTGCCACTGGCCATGGTCGAGCTCCGGCCGGGAGCGGGACTGGGCGCCGGCGC